ATACAGCTCTCAGATGACTTCACAACCTCTCTCTCTCTCTCTCTCTCTCTCTCGCTGTCCCTGGATCGCCTGGGCTTGTGTTTATGCAGCCTGGTTACTCACCTAGGGCAAGAGGCTGCAATTCACGTGAGGGACCCAGACGGCACAGAAAGGGGAACTCGAATGAACAAAGTAACATCAACGTCATACCACTGCTTCCCAAAGATAAAACAAAGATTCTGGAGCCAGTTGGGCTGAGAGACTTTCCCAGCAGGTGAAATAGGTTCCGTGGCACTAGAAGATTAATGAATAGCCATTTGTGTTTCTATACTGGCCCTGGCTAGTGAATTAAGAGATCTTATTTGTTCCCTTTAAATGAGCGATATGGAGACTATCTAGGCTTAGAGTCCACACAAAGGAAGATAACGCTGGAATGTGCTGTTGCTGCCACAACAGAGTCATTATCAGAGCATCCCTGATTCCTGGCAGGCCCATAGGAACCCAGGGTGCTGTTGTGGGCAGAAAGAGGGTCAGCCTATGACATCTCCTTGTGGGTGGAGGAAAAGGGTGCTAATGCAGCATTGTGGCCCAGTGCCACAGGTACCTGTACCACAGTGCTTGTGGTGCCGCATTCCTCTCAGAAAGGCTGGAGAGGACAAGAGGGGAAGAACGTGACTGGTTTCTCCTGGTGACTGGATTCTCCATGGCTCGTTTCTCCTCAGCGGCTATAATAGCTCTGCTGTGCTTGAGAGAGAATCCAATCAGTATGATCCTGTTCTCTAGTGACTGGGGCCTGGCCTATCGGCTTCCCGACGCCCCACCAGGGAGCTGCAAGGAATCGGTCTGTCCAGCCCAGCCATGTATGGCAGTTGTACCACAGCGTGGCGGATACGCAGAACATCAAAGAGGCAGCTTCGGCCCAGATGGACACTGGAATTCAGAGCCACCTGTTGCACCGGGGTGCGGGAAAGAGGCTGGGATATCAAATAAATGGAGTGAATGGCAGCATCTCCTCTGGAGACCCGCTGGAGCCCTGCCCCTTGGTCTGGGAGCACTGCAGGCTTCACTGTGAGGAGAAGAGGTTTGTCTGTGAGGAGACCCCGCCTCGTCTCAGTAGTTTGATCAATGGGGTGGAGTGTGGCAGTGAGGCTGGGGGAGGGGAACGGTGCCTCTATAGTCCACGTTGGGCTGGGAGGTGGGATGGAGGGCGGGATAAAGAAGCACTCGTCCAGGTTCTCCACCAAGTTTGGTTGCCTCCCAGCTGGTCTCACTGGTAGGGTGTGGGGTAGCATCAGCCCTGCCCTTTCTACAGAAAACTCTCTTCCATGTCGTGGTGCCCTTGGCTTGGCTCCTGGCAGCCCGACTTCGGTTCAGGTTCCTCCTGTTCCCCTTCCTGCTGTAGGTCCAGGGGGCTGTCACAGGATATTGTGGATGCTGTGTTCACTTCGTTCAGAGTAGAACTAAAGGGGCGGAGAGAAAGGAGAGAAATAAATGTGCTGTCTGTAATCGCTGATGTCCCAAGCAAGGACCCACTTGCTAGGGAAGACATGGCTGGCTCTCTTGTGGCACGAGGAGTGACTACCTACGCCCCCACAGTGGCCCAGTGCCATCCTCCATCTTAGACAGGCTCCAACTCCCACAGAACGATTGACAAAATGGAACTTAAATTCACCCCCCTCACTCGCACACAGTGCAGCCATCAACGCCCCACGGGGCTGTGCACACCTGGCGCGCTAGCTGCTGCGTAAACATAACAACTTGCTGTCCAGCCTCTCCCCGGGCCCCAAGCCCAGCCTGGCGTGAGGACCTTGAATGGCAGCTGGCAGTGCAGATAGACTGGGCAGCTGTGAAGGGAAAGGCCAGGCTGTGGGTAGATTTAAGGATCCTGAGAGTGAAGGGAGCTGATCCTGGAGCTGCTTTACCTGTTCCGCCTCCCCCTCCCCCCACCCCTTTCTACCTGACCACACTCTCCTGCTTTTGTTGTATGAAGCATTTGTTGTTTAGATTTCAGGATGGTCAGAGATCAGATTCGGGGGAAGCAAGAAGAGGCCTGTGTTTGCTACCTGGCCCGGCTGACCGAAGCCTCCTGAGGGGCGTCGTCGATTCCGTCGGGCTTGGGGTCAGGAAGGGGGATGATGTACTCATTGTCCCCCTCGTCCTGCTGCACGGCTGTATAGAGGACACTTCCGGTGCCGGAGCTGGGGGTGAGCCCGGCGCTGCTGACCCCGGGGATTCTGGGCCTTGTGCGCAGAACAGCAGGGTGGTCACTCTTCAGGAACTCTTCCTCGACCTGTTGGTACCTCTGCTCCCGCAGGGCAGGTTACAAAAGAAACGAGGAGGGTGAGAGGCGGCTGTGCTAACCGGGGTCAAGCCGGCATCCTCAGGCATATAAAGAGAAACTACAGAGTCTGGGCCCTGTTCCCACTGGAAGCCGCACACTGTGCACTGCTACAGTACGCTCCATTTCAGGATCGCACGGTGCTTCCCAGACACGAGTTAATGAAGCCCTCAAGGCAGCCCTGGGAGCGAGGAGGCCGATTTCAAAGCATCCCCTGAGCGGCTCCATTTTTGGGTGAGCCACCTGAGATATCGGGGTGATACTGCTGTTCTCCATGGTGCTCTATGTCTGTGTGAGTGAGAGGAGATCAGGCCTTCTGTGTCCAAAATCCGAGACATGCCCGCAGATGGCTGGACAATTGGGGAAGCACGTGGAATGGAATGACCCGAGAACACTGGGGAAGAGCCAGGAACAGAACTCAGATCTCCCGAGCCCCAATCCTGGGCATCAACAACTAGACAATGCTCACACCTGACATTTGTCCCTCTCTTTTTATGTATCCAGGGTATTACCAATATGCTCAGCCACGCTGGGAAATGTCACTTTACAAAAGGCTGCTGATTTTTTTCCTACAGCAAATTGATCTTTATAGCAAATTGCTGGAAACAGTGTCGCTTTTCGTTTTTTTCTCTGAATTGACCAGCAAATATATTTCAAGCCGTATGAATTAAACTGTTAACATTTCATTATCACCACTGACCCCGAAAGAGCCCGAAGTGCTTTACAAAATCTCAGACAAACTATACACAGGGAGCACTTTGCCACCAAAGTCCAGCCACCTCTGAGAAATGGCAAATGTTTAACTGCACACAGCAACGCTACACAGCATTTAGGGCAGGAAGTGAAGAAGAATGCTGTGTCCAGTTTGAACTGCAAGAGGGATTTAGATCGCCAGAATGTACTTGCTTGAGTTGGAATATGCCCTGGAGAACACAGGCCTGACTTCCCCTCTTTCTCCTGGGTGCTTGACACCCGCCCCCTGCCCCGCCCCTGCTCCACCCCTTCCATGAGGCCCCACCCCCATTCCAACCCCTTCCCCAAAGTCCCCGCCCCAACGCTGCCCCCTCCCTGCCCCTATTCCAACTCCTTCCCCAAATCCCCGCCCTGCCTCTTCCCCGCCTCCTCCCCTGAGCAAGCCATGTTCCCGCTCCTCGCTTGGCGTGTGCTAATGCTACCAAACAGCTGTTTAGTGGCGGCCGGGCGGGAAGCGCTGGGAGGCAGGGGGAGGAGCGGGGATGTGGCACGCTCAGGGGAGGAGGGGAGCTTGGCTGCCAGTGGGTGCAGAGCACCCACTAATTTTTCCCCGTGGGTGCTCCAGCCCCAGAGCACCCACGGAGTTGGCGCCTATGCTGGAGAATGGGATTAACACCCCTTTCCCTCCCCAAAATACCTGGGGATCTTATAGACCAGAATTTGTCAGAGCCTCAGTTCTCCAGCTCAGCTGAAAGATGCATCACCAAGTATAGAAGATGTTTGGCTGTAAAATGCGGCTCATTTCTCATACAGACGCTGTATATTTCAAGGATAGGTTATATTTAATTTAGACAAAGGAAGAAATGCCTGTGGTGTATCTAACTAAGGTGCTGACATGACCCACATTACTACAGCATCAGAACTCCTCATAATCTTTAATGTATTTATCCTCACAACACCCCTGTGAAATAGGGCGGTGCTATTCTTCCCATTTTATAGATGGGGAACTGAGGCACAGAGAGACTCATTGCCCAAGGTTACACAAGAAGCCTGGCAGAGCAGGGACTTGAACCCGTCTCCCAAGCCCTAGGCTAGTACCCTAACCACTGGACCCTCCTTCCTCTATAGTAGAGTCTCCTCCCCACACTCCCAACATAGCATTCCTGGGACATACCTTCTTGTATCCATCTGCCAGGAGGTTCCCCATAAGTACCACCAGCTGAGAGAAGGAAGGTCTTATCTCAAACTTCTCTTCCCAACATTTCTGCATGATGTCATAGCTGGGGAGATGGGGGTGGGGGGAAGGACACCACAGAGAGTTAGATGGCGGAAGGGGTGATGGAGCCAGTTTGAGGAGATGTGGCCAGTGCAAACGTACACAGTGAACACTTACATCTCGTTGGAAGCATGGGTGGGTTTAGACATTCGGTAGCCACATTTGATGGCATTGTAGAACTGCTCATTCATGGGTAGTTCAGGGTATGGAGTCCCACCTAGGAGGAGAAAGAAGAGCTGGAAACCAGGCTAACGGGGAGGCTCCACCACACTCACACTGTCGGTGTTGTTATAACACCAGCACCACCCTCCTTCCCATCTGTTCACCATTCCTACCCCACCTTCATTGCCAGTCCTGTGCGAGTCAGTGTGTGATAGGACAAGGCCCTATCACAGAGGCATGGGTGGGATGGGACTCAGGGATTGGTATCTTTCTCCCATGGTGGGACTGGAGGGAGATTGAGGGACAAGCCTGTGCGGTCCTGGGAGGTGGGTTGTGTTCTAATGAAGGAGAGTGATTCTCAGGGCACTTACCCAGGGTAAATATCTCCCAGAGAAGGATCCCAAAAGACCACACATCACTCAGGGTTGTGTAGAGGTTGTTGAAGATGCTCTCAGGCGCCATCCATTTCAAAGGCAGGAAGGTCTGTGAGGATGAGAGAGAGCAGGAATGGGTTAGGCCCACGAGTCAGCCAAGCCCCTGGGGACAGCTCACTTCTGCACCAAAAAGCAGGGACGTTGGACACCTTCCCCTTGACTCTTCAGGGAGCCCAGTTTACAAAGGCTGAGGAGAGCCCCTTGGAGCAACTCTCAAGCACTTTGCATCAACTGTTTCCCTTAGGGCCTTGACTCCCATTTCCCAGAGCAGGGTGTTACACGGACCCTTGTCAGATGGGACAGGAGAACTGCAGTCCCCCTCACAGTTCCACTCAGTACCGACACTGGCTGTCCCCCTGCTGAGGTCTCTCCCCCACTCACACCATCATGGAGAGGTTCTGGCCCTGCAAAGCCACCTCCCTTCCAGGGCTGAGTTCTCCTGCTGGGCCACTACACCAGCCTGGCCAAATGGATTATTGGCTTTCGGAGACAGACCTGCAGCTGCTGAAAGGTGCCAAAATGACAGTCCGGGGAAAGAAGGCCCCAGTGTCCCACCGGCATCCCCTGGGGCAGCTGCAACACGAGCTTCCCTCATGTCCGCTCTCCAGTGCACCTCAGCTCTGACCAGGAGAAGCTGCCTTCTCAGGTCAGACATCAGCTCAGTTTCTACATCCATTCTCATCTCAGCCAACAAGCCGGATTGCTGCAATGGAGGCTTTTGTGACATGGACACCCGGCCTTCGACTGAGTCTACTGATTCAGCTGCCACCAGGCCACTGAAATGCGGTCACATGGTGACTTTCCACCCATCCCAGTCTAAGCTGGATGTCTGAAACCTGGCAAATGTGCATCACTATGAATTAGGGTGACCAGATGTCCCGATTTTATAGGGACAGTCCCGATTTTTGGGTCTTTTACTTATATAGGCTCCTATTACCTCCCATCTCCTGTCCCGATTTTTCACACTTGCTGGCTGGTCACCCTACTATGAATAGATCTGACAGAACAGGACCTGCCTGGAGATTTCTAAGAAGCCAGGAAGAGAGGACCAAGATAGATATCCCAGTCCTCTTCTCTCCATGTTTCCTGTCTTTGGCCCAATCCAGCCCTGCTTGTGCTGCACTGAAACTTGCCTTGCGTGCAGCTTCAGCTGCGTGGCGCCCTGTGCTGGATGTGGATTTCCTTGCGCAACTGGTATCAAAAATAATCCCCAGGAAGGATTGCGAAGGGGCCTGGTTTCATTTCCTATTTTATGAGGAACAGCAGCGGCAGCAAAGCTGGATTGGAAAGCCCCAGCCCTGCTGCGGAGGGGGAAAGGGCGGGGCCTTGCCCCTTGCCCATGAACTGAGTGGGTGGCCAAGGCTCCTGCGTTACACTGGCTGCTTCTGGCTTCCAAGCAACGAGGGCAGCTCACCTACCCCTGCCGAGCTCTCCACTCCCAGCTTTGCCTGGCTGGCAGTGATTCAGCAAGAGGAGGAGAGTGGAACACGATTCCAGTGTGGTCTGGTGGCTCAACCCCTGCACTAGCACTCAGGACCTAGGTTCTAGCCCCAGCTCTGCCACTCACCTGCTGAGTGACCCTGGGCAAGTCCCTTCGCCTCTCTGTGCCTCAGTTTCCCCAGCTGTAAAGTGAGGTAATAACACTGACCTCCTTCATAAAGCTCTTTGAGAACTGCTGATGTGACGGGGTAGGGATTATTCATCTTCCCCCAGCCCTGCCTTGCCTATTGGAATTTAAAACAAAGAGAACATCCTGGAGGATGCTCGTTGGAACCAGGGGCCCTTTCTGACCTGAAAGGCCCGAATCTCCTTCCTTGAAAGCACTCGCAGGGGAGCCTGCAGAAAAGCGCTTCCTCTTTCTGTGCAGTCTAGTGGTTAGAGCAGAGGCTGGGAGGCGGAAGATCCGGATCCCATTCCCAGCTCTGCAAGTGACTCATGGTGACGCAGCTCAGCCTCTCAATCCGAAGGATGGTTCAGAGCCACTAGCCGCACAGGGATAGGGTGAGGGGTGGTCCCGTGCTCTGGGGTCCTTGAACAAAAGGGGCTGTATTCATGGGCAGTTACTAGTGCTGTTTTCTAAGTTCCTGCATAGGACCCTAGAAAGCACGTTCATGTGGTTCCATTAGAGGTAAAGCCGGGGTTAAAGTAAGAGGGGGAAAGGGAGGCAGAGAGAAATCTCCCCCTCCTCTCCCTGACTTGAGGGACCAGTGCACCCACAGCTCCCCCTCCTCCGTGGCTGGTGGGGAGAGTTCCCCACCTATCTAGTCTAACCACTGTGTAACGCCACGAGGCAAAGCACGCTGGGAACTGGGATGCAAACGGCACTAAATACCCTTAGCACTTGTTGTCATTTCAGAGGCAGGGGAATATTCAAGGAGCTGACTGAGGAGATATCTGAGCCATTAGCAATTATCTTTCAAAAGTCATGGAAGACAGGAGACATTCCAGAAGACTGGGAAAGGGCAAATATAGTGCCCATATATAAAAAGGGAAATAAGGACAACCCGGGGAATTACAGACCAGTCAGCTTCTGTACCCGGAAAGGTAATGGAGCAAATAATTAAGCAATCAATTTGCAAACACCTAGAAGATAATAAGGTGATAACAGTCAGCATAGATTTGTCAAGAACAAATTGTGTCAAACCAACCTGATAGCTTTCTTTGACAGGGTAACAAGCCTTGTGGATGGGGGGACATGGCAGATGTGGTATATCTTGACTTTATAAGGCTTTTGATACTGTCTCGCATGACCGTCTCATAAACAAACTAGGGAAATGCAACCCAGACGGAGCTACTGTAAAATGGGTGTATAAGTGGTTGGAAAATTGTTCCCAGAGAGTAGTTATCAGTGGGTCACAGTCATGCTGGAAGGGCATAATGAGTGGGGTCCTGCAGGGATCGGTTCTGGGTCCGGTTATGTTCAATATCTTAAATCGGTGATTTAGATAACGGCATAGAGAGTACACTTATAAAGTTTGTGGACGATACCAAGCTGGGCGGGCTTGCAAGTGCTTTGGAGGATAGGATTAAAATTCAAAATGATCTGGACAAACTGGAGAAATGGTCTGAAGTAAATAGGATGAAATTCAATAAGGACAAATGCCAAGTACTCCACTTAGGAAGGAACAATCAGTTGCACACATACAAAATGGGAAATGACTGCCTAGGTAGGAGTACTGCGGAAACGGATCTGGGGGTCACAGCGGATCACAAGCTAAATATGAGTCAACAGTGTAATGCTGTTGAAAAAAAGCAAACCTCATTCTGGGATCTATTAGCAGAAGAATTGTAAGCAAGACATGAGAAGTAATTCTTCCGCTCTACTCTGTGCTGATTAGGCCTCAGCTGGAGTATTGTGTCCAGTTCTGGGCACCACATTTCAGGAAAGATGTGGACAAATTGGAGAAAGTGCAGAGAAGAGCAACAAAAGTGATTAAAGGTCTAGAAAACATGACCTATGAGGGAAGACTGAAAAAATTGGGTTTGTTTAGTTGGAGAAGAGGAGACTGAGAGGGGACATGATAACAGTTTTCAAGTACATAAAAGGTTGTTACAAGCAGGAGGGAGAAAAACTGTTCTTCTTAACCTCTGAGGATAGGACAAGAAGCAATGGGCTTAAATTGCAGCCAGGGCGGTTTAGATTGGACACGAGGAAAGACTTCCTGTAAGAGTGGTTAAGCCCTGGAATAAATTGCCTAGGGAGGTTGTAGAATCTCCATCATTGGGGATTTTTAAGAGCAGGTTGGACAAACACCTGGTCAGAGATGGTCTAGATAATACTTAGTCCTGCCTTGAGCGCAGGGAACTGGACTAGGTGACCTCTCGAGGTCCCTTCCAGTTCTATGATTCTATGATTTATTGTCAGGATAATAGACTGTTCGGACTATTTGGGGAGGGGGGGAGGATCAAGGGAGTCAGGTGAGAGTTCTGCCCCCGTCCTTGGGAAGAGAGATTCCCGCCTGGTAGAATAAGGTGTGTGTGCGCCTGCTGGAATGGGGCAGGAAGGGAGGGGACCTGGGTCCCCGACTCACGCTGCCTTTGGAGATGTAGTTGGAATCCCTCATGATATCTCTGGCCAGGCCAAAGTCACAGATCTTCACCAGCTTCCCCTCGCAGATGAGGACGTTCCTTGCTGCCAGGTCTCGGTGCACACACTGTAGGGGAGGAGACAGGGTGCCATTAGAGGGGGGGGCCCAGGCCACAGAACACAAGCAACAGAAGGTGCCATGGAGGTTGTCATGGTACCAGAGCAAACCCCCCCCAGAAAGCAGCGAAACGAGCAATGATGCAGATTGCAGATGGACAGTCGGAGTCTAGGAGCAGCAGGGTTAGGCCAGCCTGGCTTATGTCTTCACGTATCCCGGACATAGCATGCTCACTGGGTTTGCTCAAGCATTGCAATGGCACCAGCAAAGAAGAAAGGCTCCTCCAGTAGCAGCACTCTTGATACTGCTGGCATCTCATTTAATGCAAGCTGCCTGGCCAGGCATGTGAAGGAGACTGGGAGACCCGCCTGTCTCGTGGGGCACCAGAAATGTCACTTTGGGCTTCTCTCTAGGGCCGTCCCCATTGCTGTCACACCCCAGCTATATACTTTTCCTAACGAACAACAGAGCTTTGGTTTCACTGACAATTGGCCTAAGCTCAGCCAGTCGAATTAGCCTTGGAGACCCCAGGAGCTCTGTCCTCATTGGCAGTTCAGCTTGAATACCCACTGAAGTATCTGTTTCCAGAAGCCTTTAGGCTGTGAGTGTGCTACTGATGGCTGTTTGTTCATTGGCACAGCACTGGCCTCTGGTGAGGATGCTTCTGGCTCTGAGGAAAGGAAACCAGACAGCACCAGGACCAACCGGAGAGTGGCTCTAAGGGGCTGCAGGCTGGGGGTTTGGAAGGCAGTGGAGCCAGACCTACTTTAACACATAGTATGGCCACACAGGAGCCAGGACAGTGCCAGCAAGTCGAGGCGGTCAGTGGCTATTTGACGCAAAGGCCTGTCAGAGAGGCAGAGTCAGCTCCTGGTGAAGCCTGACTGAAGGTCTGGCTGGTCAGGAAGACTTTCATGTCACACACCAAGAAAGAGCTTTGATTTCTTCCCTTTCAGAGCCCACTCCCGCTAAACCCGCCTGGCGACTCGGCACACATACATTTTTGGATGCGAGGAACTCCATCCCGTTGGCCACCTGGAAACTAAACCCAATCAGGTCTGTGTAGCTGAGGAGTGGGGACTCGTTTATCAGGGTCACGCGGTCCGTCCTTTCGGGAGCTGGAGGGAGGAAAAAGGCACAACGGCTGTTACCAGGCTCCCACACGGATTAAAGATGGGGCTCGCGTCGGTGGGAACAGAAGTTGGACTGGGGGTTTTTCAGACCTCCACAGAGCCTCAGTGTGGGAGAAACTGTGCCAGCACTGTTCTGGCTCAGCAGACCCTGCGGGAATCAGCTCACATCCCAACCAGCTCCTAAAGCAAAGGAAACCAGTCACCGTGGCACGAACACCATCTCCCTCCCTTCCAGGGACTCCCGTTACCTGAGGGGGAATAGCTGTCCAGCTCGTAGGGAGTGCCGTAGTTGGAGGACTCAATGTCAGCATACTTGATCTCTCCCTTCATATCAGACATGGGAACGTAGTCCAGGGAGTCATCCTTGCTCATATCCATGTAGCCCCCGTCGCTTTCGATAGAGAAGGAGGTGAGGCTGGAATGGGGAAGCAAAGAAACCATTCAGAACAGATAGTGTAAGAGAAAGGGTGGAGTGGATGTCAGATTCAGAGAAGGGAGGCTTAATTTCAGGGACTGTGGTTACGGTGGGCCAGAATTCCAAACATAGGCATGGACAATGGCACACGTATCGTTGCTCAGGCCTGAGTGGTGGGTGCAAATTCCGATGCACGAAGCAGGGATTGGCACGTGCATGGCCACACGTGAGCAAATGCCCCCTTTCCACGTGCACCTTGGAAATTTGTTGCGTATCTGAGGTGTGCACAACTGTATGCACATATCCGCACATGCCTAAGGGCAAAATTCTGACTCTGAATTTCCTTCTCCCTCCACAGGAGGGGGGGGCCACCCCAGGTGGGGGTAGGAGGGGCGTTGGTACCTTTGAAAGCACTGGAGAGGGGAATGAATGACTCTGCAGATTGAACTGCCCTCTTCTCTCAGGAGAGGTGGCAGGAGCCACACTAAATTGAGTTTTTAAAATCCTAATTCTTTAGTTAACCACTGGGCCACATCTCCTACAAGGCCTGAGCCCAGCCTCTCTAAGCACACCTGCAATTTGGTGCCTGCATTTCCCATGTGAGTTTTTGCACAGGAGTCAACTCACATGGGTGCAGGCGAACGGGGTCCTTAGAGGGAGGCCTGCGCTCTGTATGCAAAAGCGTGTGCAAATTTGCCTGCTTACTCTTGCGTGCCTGTGTGTAGGCGGGCGGCTGGGCTGGAGCAGAACAGCCCTTGCTGTGAGCGCAGTCTTTAAATGGTTAATGCTAAACCAAACTCAAGGTTGGCTCTGTGCCTTTAAACTAGTAAACACAAGCGATGACTGCTCAGTTACAGTGTTTAAGTAGAAGCCAAGCCCCTGAGCAGCCCTGCCTCCCCTGATCCCTAATATTCTGGGCTAGTACCAAGATCTCCTCTTCTGTTCCTCTCTCACTCAGCACTGCCCAGTACAGACACAGGCAAGCCTTCTTAACTGGCCTGCTGGCTCCCTATTGGTCAGTGTCTCCTTACGGCCCTTCTAGGCCCCTGGAGGACTAAGTCTCATTGGTAGTCTGGCCCTGAGCAGGGTTTTCCTTAAGCAAAAGAGTCCAGAGATTTTGAAGATCTGGGCCAGGCTGTCAGGACCCAAAGCCTCTAGCAGGCAGCAGAGAAGGCCTGACAGACCCCATCACAGTGTGCAAATGAGGTGATGGTGCATATCTAATTATCTATTTGCATGTGCTACTATGGTAACCCTGTACACAAAACCTGAGGTCTCCTTTTGGGCCTAACTGCCTAAATAGTAACTATCCATTTTAGGGTTGCTAACTTTCTAATCACACAAAACCGAACACCCCAGCCCCGTCCCTTTCCCGAGGCCCCACCCTTCTCCGAGGCCCTGCCCCTGCTTTCTCCATCCCCCCTCCCTCCATCATTCACTCTCCCCTACCCTCACTCACTTTCACTGGGCTGGGGCAGGGAGTTGGGGTGTGGGAGGGGGGTGATGGGTCCGGCTGGGGATGCGGGCTCTGGGGTGGGGCCGGGCCTGAGGGTTTTGGGATGGGGGGCTATGGGCTCTGGGTGGGGCCAGAAATGAGGGGTTCAGGGTACGGGAGCGGGTTCCAGGCTGGAGTGTTGGG